CAATTATGTATATATTCGTATAATGATCATTTACAACTGAACTTCTCTAAAAACGTTTGCCGAGTTGACACAAACTATCATGAATTGAGCATAATTTATTCATTGAAGCGATATCAATTTCTTACAGTTCATTTACATTTAGCTTTCGATTGCTGCTCAATAAATAAATCAAGCGTGAATTAAACTCATCTTCATTGATTGTTACATCCTTTAATGTGGTGATAATGTTTGAATTACAGTGGGAACAAGACATTGTTGTGTACTTAATCATTTCGATTTGTCGTCATGATTTGATGATGACAAGATAGTTGCATTCATAAAACAGATGTTATTTGTATTCGGTCGGATAGGTTGCAAATGATAGAACTGTTGAACAACTGCTGATGGAATTACATGTTTGAAGTTGGTACACAAAGATAGCCAGATGAGATGGGTAGGCCCATAGTGGTGACAATTTTAATGCGAATCAATCAAATTTTCATCAAGAAAATTTAACGTTTTTGAGCAACAATGTTAATTTAACTGCATTCTAATTCATTTAATTCATCGTTTTGCCTTTCCAACGTAACATTTCCGAATCTCTTCGTAGACAGAAGTAAGTGTCGAAATCGTCATCTACTTTCACAATTCTTCCCCAAAATGAAGTGCTGTGATGATGATATTCTACTGGAATCGTCAAAAAATATTTTTTGTTCTCGGCTTAAATATCACCTTAATATTATTGCACAAACAATCCCTCGTTGAAATATACATATATGCATTGATTTGAATGCAATTTTATGATTGATTTTGGCTTGCACAAAGAACAGAAACCAGTATAAATATAGGGCTATGGAAGAGAAGTAACGGAAACAAAAAATTCTTTTATTACAATATTGCCGACTGGGATATGTCATGGAAAGCACGAACAGAAACCGAGTTATGAGAGCATGACTTAGGTTGAACATATCGTTAGAAACTGCTTCTATCTTCTGCGTAGTTGACAGTCGCTTTTTCTGTCTTTCATTGCATTATGTATGAGAGAATTGATAACATCAGAGTAATCGAAGTTCTGAGATAAACTTGAAGTATCACAACAAAACAAAACAACAACCTCCCTTCGCATTCAAGTGCAACAACAGTTTAATAGTCAGCAGCAAACTCATCTTCATTATCAACGAATGAATAAGCCTGTAGAATACTCTAGTTGTGAGGTGAGATAGAGGCCTCGAAAACGTTTGTGAAAACAACTTATCGTTTCAAAAAATACCAGTAAACTGTGAAAAAATACATCGCAATTACCATCTTGAATAAATTGTTGCGTTAATTTTCGCTAATTCTCATTACCATCAGTGCATATGAACGGAAAATAATTAATGCAAAAACAAAAAACGTAATATCAGTGAAATAAAATAAATGTCACTGGAACTGAATTGTTTTGCGTTTTGATTATTCAATAATTTGTAATGATCACATCCTCTCCCGTGTCGTTTTCTTATTCGCTTACTTTCAAAAGATGTTTAAGTTCTTTGTATTAACTCCATATGAATCTTAAGCTTATTTTCATGATCGTTGTGCATCAAATGATATGAGCAAGCCAATCGTGTTTCCATGTTTATGGAAACTGATGAAAGAATTCTGAAAATTAGCTTCGAAATTGTGGTTTATCTGCCACATTGAATGAGAAGTCTGAGGTGTTTGTAGCTGAACTTCGTTTTGAGATGATTACTGTATTGTAGTTGTGGCTAATGTTGAAGTTGATATAGTGTACATATCAGGTAAAGAGTAAATGCGAGTGTTTACTTGTTGGTGTGCCATAGCACTTATTAGTACGGTCAAGCTCTTAATACGATCCTCCCTAATAGTAGAGACAGTAGCAACACATTGCCGTTCGTATACATCATTAAGTAGTGTTTGCAGAAGATTATTTATGCAAATTATTATGAATACACTTCATAAATAAACACTCAGTCAGTTGCATTATACTTGTTGTTCTTCTATCACTCTGTCTGATATGGGTATAATCCCTCACTTAAGTTTAGCTAGAAATGATCATTTATAATATTGAGATTGATGGAATAAAATGCTGATGAATAACGAGCACATTATGGTGAATAACGTAACTAATGAACAACGACTGCATTATCATTCGCATCGTTGCCAATTGTAAAATGATTGTGTTCGTCGAAACAAAGGTTTATTAGTTGTTTGTTGTAAAATAAGCAAGGCAACAGATAGATGCGTTGAAGATTCATTGGTTGTTGAGTGAAATGATAAATGAAGCAAAAGACAAACGAATGCTTAATTGGGTTTAATGATTGTTCACGGAACAGCACTTCGTTCAGTTGAGCGCATATTTCAGTACGATGCGTATTTATTGTGTTATTCCAAAACGAAATGCTTTTATGCTTCCATCTTCGAAAACACTTCCAATTGTTTTTTTTTCGTTTACAACCATTGTTTCATCTCTTCACAAGCATTGTTTCGCCTACTTCTCTGATGCTTGTTTTTTTATTTATTTGTTTTGTTTGGTTGTGAAATTATCACTTTCCCTCTTCTCTATTCACAAAACTCGTCATTTGTTGTTGCCGTCTAAAATGCTGAAAAAAAGAACACATAAAGTTCGATTCAAAGATGAAAAATGCATGCATTTCAGCAAAAATTGGTCGAGTTGTAAGAAGCGTTCAAAAGGGGCATTATAAGTGGAAAGCGCAAATTTAGAATTGATGTCAATTACAACGTTTCGAACTAATCATTGAAGTGCCGGAATGGACATAAATAAGAAGGAAACGGATCACTGAAGAGATATGCATAAATTTTTATTGAGAACGATGAAGTGGCACGATTCATTCTACAAATGTTGAACATTTCGCATGTTCACGATATGAACTCTAACTGCATACTTCATGATCTTCTATCGTGTCTTATTGCCAACAAAATAATCGAATTTCTAATGAAACCGTCGAAATAACTGCATAATTTGTGAATCAAAGAAAAGCACAAAACCAAACTCTTTAGTTTTATGAAAATGCTACAATACGTTATGGATGAAAGTTCTTAAATGAACATGAAATTAAGAAATGTATTAAACATCTTTAGTCAAAGTCTAGAATTACGATCGAATTATTGCATGAACGTATCTCTTCAATAATCAAAAATTGTGCACTTTTGTGTCGAGAATATCATTGATTATGGTTACATTTAGTTTAACTGAGGATCGATATTAAACCAATTTTGCGTTTCTTTCGCATAAAATACATTCCATTCCATATTAACATACGTATTTTCGCTGTTGTCCGAAATGCTCACATGAATGAATAATTTGTCTGTGATGTATTTAAATCAATAATGATATCATGCTTTTCAAAATATTATCGAGAGATGTACAATTCTTCAATAAGAATCATCGTTCAAAAATGGAAGAGTCATAGTTGATCATTCAAAATATCATACAGCAGGGATCATCACTTTTTCTGTCACGGATCAACTTCACATTTCCTGACTTCTCCTCGAGTCGCATGTCCATCCAATGCGTATAATACTCAAATTTCATAAATTCAGAACACTCACTACCCATTCCGTATACTTGTTGCGATTCTGAAACTACCACGAATACATAAGTATCATTCATTCTAATTGGTCTCCTCAACTGATTTCAGGACTCGCTGCGTTTTCTTCACCGTTTATGAATATAATAACAACACTGCACAAATAATTTCATGATTAATGTGATGAAATTGAATATTTGCATCTCTAGAGAGGTTTTGGAATGAGATGATAAGAAATGACCAATCTGCTTTTCGAAAGTTTCAGGCAATGGTACATGGTGAACCTACCTCATCTTGAATGCCAACATAATATGCAGAAACCTTTCAACATAGATAAAAGTTTGAATTGAAAATGCTTATTCGTTATTGTCATCAATCTTTGCAATTGCATTTTTCACTTTTTCTCCAAAAAGAACCTCCAATCCGATATGAATATTAGAAAAAAATTAAGATGAAATGATTGGGAAAGAATACCACTGGGTGACTTATATCAAGTCATTTTAGAACTATATACCTACACTGCAATTATCATTCAGAACGGCTTACATGTCTGATAAGACAGAACATCGTGATGGGCCCAATAAAATAAGCTCGCGGGATGGATTCCATACATTTCCGAACCGATCAGTGATGAAGTTATCTTCGGAAATAAAACGTTTTATTTTAACAAAATTGAAATATATATCACATGTGAAATCAAGAATATGTATACATATATA